CATTTATGGATATATATTATATATATTATATATATTATATATATTATATATATTCTTTGTTTTTTATCTCTCTCTCTCTACATATATATATATATCTGCGTATTAGTTAGTTGTTTATCTTATATACATGCATATATATATATATATATATATATGCATATATAAATATATATATATATAATGTATATCTATATATATACATTATATATATATATATGTATAGATACATACACCTACACATCTACACAATCACATAAAATAGCATAAATAAAAGCACAAACAAGAATAAACAAACAAACAAGTAAATAAACAACAAAAGATAATAATAAGTAAAGTATATGGTTTGAATATATAATGCTTTGATTGCAGGTCGACATAAGGTCTGCTGAAGCGAGAAGTTTACATCAAGCACTGCGAGCAGAATGGGACGTGTATAAGATAATATTAGATTTGTTGCGAGCGACGCCGAAGCTAGAGAATGTTTATCATGAGACAGCAAGAAAGGCCTTTATATTCTGTAGAGAATATCATCGTCAGCAAGAGTTCAGGCGTCTATGTGAAGTACTTCGGTCTCATTTTAGTTTATTAATTAAGAACAGAAACAGAGACGAGACAGATATAATCTTTCGGGGCGATCTTCATCTTGAAACAAGGATACAACAGCTAATTGTTGCTGCTGATTTAGAGATCTGGAGGGAGTGTGCTGCTACAGCTGAAGATATATATGCATTAGGTATTCATGACTTATTTGCTAGGACATTAAGATCTTATCAAGAACCTTTTGTTAAGGCTAGAGAGAAGCTGCCGCGCTGGCTCGGCATATTCTATGAGAAGTTAACTCAAGTCTTCTGGGTAGGAGAGAACTATTTATTTTATGCTTTAGCTTCTATTCGTCTGTTTATTCACATCAAAACGTTTAAGAAGAACATTACTCCTAAACAAATCTCGCAACAAGCAGATCTCGCTGTACTCGCCGTATTAGCAGTCCCTCAGCACTCTTCAAGGTATGCTGTCTTCATTTAGTTTAATTTAATTTATTTATTTGTTTGTTTTGTTTTGTTTGTTTTATTTGTTTTATTTATTATATTTGTTTATTATGTTTGTTTATTATGTTTGTTTATTATGTTTGTTTATTATGTTTGTTTATTCTTTTTATTATTTATTTTTCTTTTTATGTATATCTGTTGTCTTCTTCTTTACTGTATTATCTTCTTTATTATTTATTATCTTTGTATTTATTATTTGTTATCTTATTCGTCTTTATATTTATTATTTGCTTCTTCTTTACAACCTTCTTCATATTATTATTTGTTGTTTTTATATCCTTTATTTGCCTTTTCTTTACTATGCTCTTTTTTATGTTTATATTTTATGTTTATATTTTATTTTTATTTATTATTATTAGCTGAAAACCTCTGAAAGGTTTTATGTTTATATATATATATATTTATATTTATATGTTTATTTTATTGTTTATATTTTAACTATTGTCTGTGCTGTTGTTTTATATTCTTTATATCTATAATACTGTTTTTCTTTATAATTATCTAACTAAAATAATAATAATAATAAAATAATTATAATATAATATATTAAAACCTGAATATAAACAAACACATCAACAACATGACGATAAACATGTATATATATATTTATATAAGTAGATAAATAAATAAAATAAATATATAAATATAAATAAATAAATATATATATATGTTTGTGTATATGTTTTGCTGCAGCAGCAGAAGAGACAGTGAATGGGTGATGGAAGGAGGTGTACTGTCTCCTCAGCACGAAAACAAAAAGAAGCTGTCTCTTTTATTAGGTCAAAGCAGCATCCCTACTCGCAGCAGTTTACTGTCTCTTTTAGAGACGAAAGACATCTTAGCGCATGCATCCCCGACTGTTAAACAGCTGTTCTCTCTCCTCGAAGCTGAATTCACGCCTCTCAAACTATGGTAATGCTCCTGCTGCTGTTGCTGCTGCTGCTGTTGCTGTTGCTGCTGCTGCTGTTGGGTTTGGTGGTGCTGTTGCTGCTGCTGTTGCTGCTGCTGGGTTTGGTGGTGCTGTTTCTGTTGCTGCTGCTATTGCTGCTTGCTGCTGCTATTGCTGCTGCTATTACTGCTGCTATTGCTGCTGGTGTTGCTGCTGTGGTGCGTATAGAAGACTATGCTGAATGTCTATACTCCTTGTCTAAATAAATATATAAAAATAAATAAATAAATAAAAATAAATAAATATATATATATTATTAGATTTGTTTTTGTTTGCTGCAGCTCTTTATCTCAGCCTTTACTTGAAGAGCTTGAGCAGCAGCCTTTGCTTGCTCCTTATGTGGGGTGTCTGAAGAAGGTTGTATTCTCAAAGCTAGTGCAGCAGCTATCTCGAGTTTATGTTTCTTTGTCTGTCGATCACTTCGTTCAGCATATTTGTCCAGCAGAGTTTTTATCATGGAAGGAAGCAGAGAAGCTGCTTGTATCTCTAGCTCATAGCAGCAGAAGAGGTGCAGCAGCAGCAGACAGCAGCAGCACTACCACCGGGGGAGCAGCAGGGACTGCAGCAGCAGCAGCAGCAGCAGCTGCTGCTGCTGCTGCAGCAGATGCAGGTGGATATACTATAAGAATTGATTATGCTTCGAAAGCTCTCATCTTTGCTGAGCCTGACGTCTATCCTGAGTCCTATTTGCGTTCTTCTTTATCATCTCTTTCGCGTGCACTCCATACGTAAACCCTAAACCCTAATAAACCCTAATAAACCCTAATAAACCCTTTTAGAGAAGAAACCCTTTATTAAGCATAAACATTCGCAACCCTAAACCCTGTAATGCGTAAACTCTACAAATTACTAGTCTAAGATACTCCTTAGGGTTTTAAAGGGTTTAGGGTTTAGGGTTTAGGGTTTAGGGTTTTGTTGGTGGCGCAGAGCGGTACAGCGTTTGCAGCCGGAGGAGACAGAAGAGCAGCAGCAAGAGAGACATGCTTATCAACAAGCAATGGAGAAGAGACTCAAAGTAGAAGCAGCAAAAATGAGTGAGCAGCAACAGCAGCAGCAGCAACAGCAGCAGCAGCAACAGCAGCAACAGCAGCAGCAACAACAACAGCAAACACAACTATGGTGTTCAGAGAGGGGGAGCAAAATTGCGAGGTTTTATTCATGACATGTGGTTCTTTCGGGTTTAGGGTTTAGGGTTTAGGGTTTAGGGTTTAGGGTTTAGGGTTTAGGGTTTAGGGTTTTTAGGGTTTAGGGTTTAGGGTTTAGGGTTTAGGGTTTAGGGTTTAGGGTTTAGGGTTTAGGTTTTAGGGTTTAGGGTTTAGGGTTTAGGGTTTAGGGTTTAGGGTTGAGGGTTTAGGGTTTAGGGTTTAGGGTTTAGGGTTTAGGGTTTAGGGTTTAGGGTTTCGTTTGCCGTTTGGGGTTTGAGTGCAGACGAGCGACTGTGGCGGACGAATCTGCGGCGTTTGGAGCGCCAAGAAGAGCAGCAAAAGTTAGAAGAAGAACGAAGACTCAGAGAAGCAGAGCAGAGAAGAGTCGAAGAGAAACAAGGTAAATATAAATATATATATATATATTTGTTTATATATATATTTGTTTATATATATATTTGTTTATATATATATTTGTTTATATTATGTATGTATATGCATATACGCACACAGCTTGTTTTTGTATTTATTCTTTAACAGATATATATATGTATATATGCATATAAATATATATATTTATGTAACTGTTTATTTATTTGTTTATTTATTTGTTTATTTATTTTTGTATATTTACGTATTTATGAATGCTTTCATTCATTAGTCTATATAATTATTTATTTGTTTATATATAAATATATATATATAAATATAAATATATATATATATATATATAAATATATATATGAACGGATAAAGAAACAAACAAACAAACGAATTAAACAAAATTGTGTATTTGTGTGTATAGAGAGAGAGAGACGCGAAGAAGCATCAAAAAGAAGAGTAGAGCAGCGACAACAAGAAGAAAGAATAAAGATAAGAAGTGAGACAGCAGCTTTAATGCTAAAAGAAATACAAAGAATCGGCGGAAGAGACAGCAAAATTAAAATCAAAGGCAAGCAACTTACTGATATTAATATTCAAGACGTCTTAGAAGGTCATGTCGACTATGACGATTTAGAGAAGGCACAACGATTACAGCTTCAAAACGTAAGAATTAATTAATTAAATAAATAAATAATTAATTAATTAATTAATTAATTAGTTAATTAGTTTATTTATTTATCTAAATTAAGATAGAGTTTAAAAAACTAGTTAGAAGGGCATGTCGACTATGACGATTTAGAGAAGGCACAAAGATTACAATTTAAATTAATAAATTAATAAATAAATTAATAAATAAATAAACAAATTAATTAATTAATTAATTAATTAATTAATTTATTTATTTATTATGTACATGCATATATATTTATATATTTATTTTAATTAAAATAAATAAAAATAAAATAAATAAAATTAATTATTATCGATGTTGTGCATATATCCGTTTTTTGTATTTTCTCAATCGCAAACAAATTAAATAAATTAAATAAAATAAATAAATAAATAAATAAATAAATAATATAAATAAATAAATAAATAAATAATATAAATAAATAAATAAATAAACAATATAAATAAATAAATAATATAAATAATTAAAATAAACAAAACAAAACAAACAGATGAATGATTGATAGTATATTTTGATATATATATATACACTATAAAGAATATATAAAATATATTAAATAGACAGAATCTCTAATACAACATACTATAATATAATAATAATATAATATATATATATTATATAAAACATATTTATATATATATTTATTTATTATTTATTATTGTTTATCTTCAGGAGCGTCTGCTGAGGGTTCGGCAGCGACGTATGAATCTAAAGAAGGTCTGTCATTACATACGGGCATGCAGAGAAGCCGAGCTGCCGCTGCTGCAGCAGTGGGCTGCAGCACAACTTGAGCACGACTCGCAGATTCTTGTTCAGCTACAAAACAAGCATGAAGAAGGTGCTTAACTACTCTGCTGCTGCTGTTGCTGCTGCTGCTGATGGTTCTGCTGCTGTTGATGGTTCTGCTGCTGTTGCTGCTGCTGCTGCTGCTGATGGTTCTGCTGCTGTTGCTGCTGCTGATGGTTCTGCTGCTGTTGCTGCTGCTGATGGTTCTGCTGCTGTTGCTGCTGGTAGTGATGCTGCTGCTGTTGATGGTGGTGGTGATGCTGCTGCTGTTGTTGCTTCTGCTGCTGCTGTTGCTCTTGTTGCTGTTGCTGTTGTTGCTGCTGCCGAGGGTTTTTCTTTGTGTGATGCGCTGCGGCAGCAGCATCTCCCTGGGGTTTAGGGTTGTTGAGTGTTTAGGGTTTAGGGTTTAGGGTTTAGGGTTTAGAGTTGTAAAGGGTTTGTTGTTGATTGTTTGTGTATTTGTATTTGTTTAGAGCACCGTGCTGCTTTTGCTGCTGCACTTGAAGAAAAAGCAGCATTTGAAGGTATTCAAGAAGATAAAGAGCTTTGGGTGTCTCGGCAGCTGCAGCAGCGTCAGGAGCAGTTTGCTGTTGCTGCTGCAGCGCAGCGGGAGCGCCTTATTCAAATGCTGCAGCTTCAGAAGATACAGAGAGCAAGAGAAAGAAGAGATGAAGAGATTAAAAGACAGAAAAGATTAGAAGAAGAAAGAAGAATCGAGGCAGAACAGAAGGTACACTCGCAGCCTGCTGCTGCTGTTGCTGCTGCTGTTGCTGCTACTGCTGCTGCTGTTTCTGTGGCTGTTCCGGTTGCTGTTGCTGCTGCTGTTGCTGCTGCTGTTGCTATATGTATACACGTATGTATATATATATATATATATATATATATTTATTTATTTATTTATATTTCTACTTCTGTATAATACACTGCTAATAAGTAAATGACTTCAAATATTAATGCATGCATTTATATAAATGTATGCATACATATATAATAAATTATATAAATAAATAAAATAAATATATATATATATATATATATATACATTTGTTTATACATATAAATCTATTTGTATAAATATATATATATATACATCAATTTGTATAGATAAATACATACTATAAATCTGTGTCTCATATAAAACATATAAACATATATAAACATATATAAACATATATATATATATATATTAAATATATTAGATATTAAATATATTAAATATATTAATATGATGGGGTGTACGTACAGCGTCAGATGGAGGAGATGGAGAGGCAAAAGGCAGAAGAAGAAGCGAAGCAAAGACGGCTGACAGAGATGGCTGAGAAACAAAGACTCAGAGAACTCGAAATCGAAGTGCGTCCTGCTCCTGCTGCTGCTGCTGCTGCTGCTGCTGTTGGTGCTGCTGCTGGTTGTGGTGCTGGTGGTGGTGGTGGTGGTGGTGCTGCTGCTGCTGCTGCTGTTGGTGCTGCTGCTGCTGTTGGTGCTGGTGCTGTTGGTGGTGGTGGTGGTGCTGCTGCTGTTGTTGCTGATTCAGTTGTTGCTGCTTAAGTTATTGCTGCTTGTGTTCCTGCTGCTGCTCGCACTAATGCTGTTTCTGCTGCTGTGCTGCTGCTGGTACCACTACTGTTGCTGATATGTTTGCTGCTGCTGCTGCTGCTGCTGCTGCTGCTGCTGCTGCTGCAGGCGAAGCATGGGTTGGCGAATCGGGAGAGCAGCAAACGAGGAGACAGTTTGTCTCTAAGTAGAAAGACAGATTCACCTGCAAGCGGAAGCAGCACTCAGCAGCTGTCTCCTTCCGCCCCCAAAGAGCAGCAGCAGCAGCAGCAGCAGCAGCAGCCGCAGCAGCAGATAGAATGGAGGCGAACAACACCTTTAAATTCGCCAGATAAAGAGACACCCCCTAAAGGGAGACAGGAGACATTCTTTCGCAGAGGAGACAGACCTGCTGCTGCTGCTGCAGCAGCCGGAACCGGCGAGGTGCTCAACTGGAGGAACATGAACAGGGGGGACAAGCAGCAGCAGCAGCAGCAGCAACAGCAGCAGCAGCAACAGCAACAGGCAGAATCACCTGCACCCGAGGATGAGGGATTCACACCTTGGCGCCGCAGGAAGTAATTTGCATTGCAGCAGAAGCAGCAGCAACAGCTGCAGCAGCAGCAACAGCTGCAGCAGCAGCAACAGCTGCAGCAAGAACAACAGCTGTAGCAGCAGCGGCTGCTGCTGCAGAGACAGCAGCGCATTCCCTTGTCTTTTACATATATTTCTATACTCATTCCTTGCGAACAGTTGATGCTGCAGCAGCAGCAGCAGCAGCAACAGCAGCAGCAGCAGCAACAGCAGCAGCAGCTGCTGCTGCTGCTGGTGCTGTATTAGCGAAGCTTCAGCAACAGGCTGCTATTGCTGCTATGGCTGTAGCAGGAGCAACAGCAACAGCAACAGCAGCAGCTGCAGCAATAGCATTAGTAGCAACAGCAGCAGCAGCAATTGCTGCTGCTGCTGCTGCTGCATTATTTAAAAGCCCTCAATTTTCATAAGAAGACAGGCGGTGATTGGGGTGTATAACGAGCGTCTTTCTTTTATCTTATTTATTCAATTACTCGTATATTTTTATTATTTATCTTCATCTCTTAATATCTAATATATATATAATATATATATAATAATATATATAGTATTATATAATATATATATATATATATATAAAGCCTATGAAGCTTCTCTCTCTTATTTATTTGCACCTGTTTTATTCTTTATCGCTTTATTAGTATATTATATATATATATATATATGATATTAATATATAAATCAGATATAGCTAGCTACAGCTAACTACAGCTATAGCTACAGCTAGCTAGGCTATAGCTACAGCTAGCTACACCTATAGCTGCAGCTAGCTAGTTGTTTGCTGCTGGTGCATCCACGGTCCTCACAGCTCTAGCAATCCAGCATCAGCTGCAGCAGCAACAGCAGCAGCAACAGCAGCTGCAGCAAGTGCATCTGTTAATCGGCATTTGTTTATCTTTGTTTATTTGTTTATTTATTTGTTGTCTTTGCTGTCTCTCGCGTGTTTATTTTAATTAATTAATTTAATTATTTATTTATTTATTTGCTTGCCAGCGTAACATTAAAACAAAAAAAGATTCGCGTGTCTCCTAACGACCGACTGCTGCTGCAGCAGCAATTACTGCTGCAGCAGCAGCAGCAAAAGCGTCTAGCGGGTGTTGCTGCAGCAGCAGCAGGTGCAGCAGCAACAGCGGCTGCTGCAGCAGTTGCTGTCTCTTACGTCTCCTTATTTGCTGCTGGCGGCAGCTGCTGCTGCCTACGGTGCTCCCCTTTGTTGCCGCAGCAGCAGCAGCTGCTGCTGCGACAGCTGCTGCTGCTGCAGCAGCAGCAGCACGACGTGCATGCATTGCATGCATTAAGCAGCAAAAGAGCCACCCCACAATTCAGCTGCCTCTCCTCCTACAGAGGCATCGCTGCAGTTTTCACAATTTGTTTCTTTGCTGCTGCGATGACGAGCAGAAGAGGCTTCAAATGCTGCTGCTGCTGCTGCAGCAGCAGCAGCACCTGCAGCAGCACCTGCTGCAGAACCTGCTGCTGCTCCCATAGGCCCTCCTAAACTCTCCCCTGCTGCTGTTGCTGCTCCTTTCACCAGCTGCGCAGCTGCAGAAATGTTGCTGCTACTGCTGCCGATGCTGCTCCTGTTGCTGCTGCTGCTGCAAATGCTGTTGCTGTTGCTGCTGCTGCTACCAATCTCACTTCGGCTGTTGAAGCTTCGTCCTCTTCGTCTCTTCAGGGCATTCTTATCTGTCTCCCACGCTGCTTCTGCTGCTGCCGCCGCTGCTGCTGCTGCTCCTGCAGGCTGCTGCTGCTGCTGCTGCTGCTGCTGCTGCTGCTGTGTCTTGGTGAGCCGGCTTTTAGAGGCCCTGGAGCTGCGGTCGCGCTTGCGATGATCGCTGATGCTGCTGCTGCTGATGCTGCTGGTGCTGCTGCTGCCTGGCCCCGCAGCAGCAGCAGCTGCAGCAGCAGCAGCAGGGCTACTAGCATAGTCGCTGCTGCTGCGTGCTGCAGCTTCAGGGGTTGAGTGGTGCATACCTGAACCAGCCTTGCCTTCTGCTGCTGCTGCTGCTGCTGCTGGGTCTTGTTGCTGCCCTGGCAGCAGAAGGACCAGCTGCTGCTGCTGCTGCTGCTGCTGCTGTGAAGGATGCAGAGGCCCCACAGCTTGCATTGGTCCAGCTGCTATCATAAACGGTTGCTGCAAGGAGAGGCCAAGCAGATGATCTTGCTGCTGCTGCTGTTGCTGCTGCTGCTGCTGATGCTGCTGGGGCATGCACACCATGCCTCCCTGCTGCTGCAACATGAGTTGCTGCTGCTGCTGCTGCGGTAGGGGCACTCGGTAGCGCGGGTCTTGCAGGGGTTGCTGCTGCAGCACGAGGCAAGGCTGCTGCTGTTGCTGCTGCTGCTGCAGCGGCATCTGCTGCTGCTGCAGGGGAATTTGCTGCTGCTGAACGTGGGGCATCAGCAGCAGATCCTGCTGCTGTTGCTGCTGCTGCTGCATAGAATACGGTAGCACCATCTGCCGCTGCAGAGGTCCTTGATGCTGCTGCGGCGCTCTCTGCTGCTGCAGCTGAGGGTGATGGTGTTGCTGCTGCTGATGAAATTGCTGCTGCTGCAGCAGCTGCTGCTGCTCTTCCGAATACCCCAGTCCCACATGCATGCGCCCCAAAACCGCTTCTTGCTGCAGTTGCTGCTGCTGCAGTTGCTGCTGCTGCAGCAGAGGCTGCTGCGGACCGTATACATACCCGTGGTGAGGCATCAGCTGCTGCTGCTGCTGCTGCTGCAGCGGCTGCTGCTGGCCCGGAGCCGTAAGCACATCGCCTACGCCCCCTGCTGCTGCTGCTTTTGTATTGAACAGCAGCAGCTGCTGTTGCTGCTGCTGCTGCAAACCCGCCGGATGAGGCTGCCCTGTGAGCGCCTGATGCCTGTGCAGCAACTGTAGCTGCTGCTGTTGCTGCTGCTGCTGCTGCTGCTGCGGCCCATTGTGCCGCTGCTGCTGCTGCAACGCCGGAGAAGCAGCAGCAGACGGTACTGCAGCAGAGTCAGTGATGCTCGCGTGCCTCGAGGAAGCCTCACCGTGAAGCAGTAAGCCATGCTGCTGCTGCTGCTGCTGCTGCAGTTGCTGCTGCAGTTGCCGCTGCTGCAGCTGATGCTCTTCCTCTTGAAAAGCAGAGACGTGCGGCAGCTGTCTGCGTTCGCTGCTGCTGGAAGCAAAGGAAGTAGCAGGCGAAGCAGCAGCAGCAGCAGCTGCTGCTGCTGCTGCTGTTGCTGCTGTGCCTGCACTTCTGCTCCCCGGCGTAGGCCTCCGTGAGCCCCTGGAGGCCCCCCCTGCTGCTGCTGTTGCTGCTGCTGCTGCACCAGACAGCTTTCTGCTGCTGGAGGTGCTTCCCTGACGGCCATGGGCAGCAGATGCTGTTGCTGCTGCTGCTGCTGCTGTTGCTGCTGCTGTTGCTGCAGTTGCTGCAGACGCGTCAATCGGTAGTCCATGTGGCTTGGCTGTGCCGAGTGTGTTGCTGCTGCTTGCTGCTGCTGCCCCTTGACTAGCAGCAGCAGAAGCAGCAGCAGCAGCAGCAGCAGGGTCAGCATCCCCCATTACACCCAGCTGCAGCAAGCGTCGCTGCAGCTGCTTCGCGAGGCCTCCTTCTGCTGCTTCAGGCGAACTAGAAAAGAAGCAGCAGTTAAGTGCTGCTGCCCAAGGGAACTGCTGCTGCAGCAGCAGCAGCCTCTCCTCTACTTCTTTTGCTGCTGCAGACAAGGCATGCACCTTCTCCTGCTGGCTGTTCAGTGCACGCGCCCAGTCTGCTGCAGCTACGCCGCTGCTGCTGCTGCTGCTGCTGCTGCTGTTGCTGCTGCTGCTGCTGCTGGGATCAGAGGCGCGTTGGGGGGCGGAAGTTTTGCTGCTGCTGCTTTCGCTGCTGCTGTCATCAGCGTCCTGCTGCAGCACCTCATTGGGTTGCTGCTGCGCCTGCTGCTGGCCCCCAGCAGCGGCAGCAGCAGCAGCAGCAGCAGCAGCAGCAGCAGCAAGGGGCTTGCCTGCATCCTTTGAGAGCCAGGCAAGGCTAGAAGAGAGGGCATTTAGAGCTGCTGCATTTCCTTTGCTGAGCATCCACTGGGTGTGTTGTGCTGCTGCTGCTTCTGCTGCTGCTGCTGCTGCTGCTGCTGCTTCAGGGGTGTCTCCGCGGCTGTGCTGCAGCAAATCAAATGCACTCGCAATAAACCCCGCAGGGTCTCCGTCTCCGCTTCGTCTCCTTGCTTCTGCTGCAGAGACAAATGGCTGCAGCGCAGCCTCTAGATCCTCGCCACCTGCTGCTGCTGCTGCTGCTGCTTCTGTTGCTGCTGCTGCACCAGATCGCTTTATCTGCCCGTCTGCAAGCAGCAGCAGAGACTCTGCCTTTCCTCCACCTACGACAAGGAGACAGTTGTCTGCTGCTGCTGCTGCTGCTGCAGCAGAACTTAAATCCCCCTTGCTGTCGGAAGCCTGCAAGGCTGCATCCCCCGTGCTGCTGCTGCTGCTGCTGCTGCTGCTGCTAACACCTCCATCGACGTGGCATGCTTCGCGCTTCTCTGCGGCTCCCTCCTGCTTCACGGAAGCAGCAGCAGCATCCTTTGCTGCAGCAGCAGCTGCAGCAGCAGTACCTGTGCCGCACACGACTTCCATCACCCGCTTCTCTCTGTCGAGGCGCTGCTGCAGGTTTGCTGCTGCTGCTGCTTCTGCTGCAGCCCAGGTAGCAGACTGCTGCTGGCAAGCCTCGGCGAGCGCTACAGCTCTTGCTGCTGCTGCTGCTGCTGCACCGGAAGGCTGCTGCTGCAGCAGCAACAGCGCTGCAGCATTATCTCTATCATCCCCCCAGGAGCAGCTGGGGGCTGCTGCTGGATCTATAAGCAGCAAATGCTGCTGCTGATGCTGCTGCTCCTGCCAGACTGCAGCTTCTGCTGCTGCTGTTGCCTCCGGGTCGAGTCCTGCAGCTTCTGCTGCTGCTGCTGCTGCTGCTGCTGCTTCTGCTGCAGCACGCGCCTTCGCCAGCCGCCGCCGCCTTGAGCTTGCACTCATTCCCGGGGGTCTTGCTGCAGAGTTTGCTGAGGGCAGCAGCACAGCAGCAGCAGCTGCTGCTGCTGCTGCTGCTGGGCTTAGAGCCATCAGAGGAGCCGATTCCGTACTCACACCAGCAGCAGCAGCAGCAGCAGAAGCAGCAGAAGCAGCAGCAGCAGCAGCAGCAGGCACAAGCTTGCTGCGAGACTCCCACCTCCCAAGCGCGTTCCTCACAGGACCTTTGGGTCCTGCAGCAGCAGCAGCAGCTGCTGCTGCTGCTGCTGCTGCTGGAGACACGAGGCCAGGCAACGCCGCTGCACCTCCTGCTTTTAATGCTTTTCGTGGCTGCTGTCGCTGCTGCTGCTGCTGCAGTGCTGCAGCGTCTGCTGAGCCTGGAGGGGAGAAGTGAAGGGCT